TCAAATCTCAAACGGACACTTGGCAGGATTAAGTGTCACCAAGCATATTCATGTCAATCAATTAATTCCAACATTAGCTCAGTAGCCAGTCAGTTCCTGTTTTCATCCTCTCATTGAAAGAACTTTGTCATTCCTTGCAAATATGATGTAGATTTCTTTAAAAGTCTAATGAATAATATAAAATTCTGCATTGTTTCCAAATGGCGAAAGAAACCTGAAAACCCTCCCAGAGCGTAAATCTGCAAATGCAACCAAAGGATAATTAAATAAGTTCTTTTAATGAAGTAGGCCATACAAATTGCATAGCATGAAGCTTTTTTAAACTAATTATCCAGTAGATCATATCACTACAAAAACAAAAAACAATCTTCTCCCAGTCTACTTACAGACATTGTATGTAGTTCAACAATCTAAATTTAATCTCTTTTACACAAAATTAAGACTGTTACAAAACAAATTTTAAAAAAACTACGCCATGAGAAGTCAAACTCAGATTTTAAAATCAGGAAAGTCACACATTACAAATACTAAGTCAAAATCATTCTCATGGTTTGAAAACAAGAATTCCACTGCATCCAATTTATTTTAATTATCATTATTTCAAGCACAGAGGCTTGAACTATGTCATAATAGCTGTCATTTTGAAAATCTTCTTAGATAAAATGATGTACTAAAATGAAAGTTGTGTTGAGAGTTGTTTCTTGCACCATGCTTCATTAGAGACTTAAAAATGAAGCTGGTATATCTACTTTTTGAATGCTATATAAAAGCATGTGTAGTTAAATTCACATGTACTGCCTCTTCCAAAAAGCACTTTAAATGCTACACTGAAATTTCTATTAAGGTTTTCAGGTAACTTTTTTTTTAAAAGGAATGCACACCTTTTCTTCATTTCTGATTTTAATTTCCTTTCTCCCTCTCCGTTGCTCGATTTGCCAAACCAAGCCCTATTCAATGGATGAGATCAAGCAGACAGGCTGCTAAATGGTTATCTATTTATGACATGAACAATTTGATTGTAATTCTATTTTAATTTTAATTCAAAATGTTAACATAACAATACATGATCAAATTGTTATTTTAAGGCATTGTTCTTATCTCACTAAAAACAGTTCTACTTAAAAAAAGGACCATACATACATAACAGAAGGTTTCAGTTAATTACTATTCAACACATGGCTCCTTGTTGATGGTATATACATAAACACACACATGAAAAAACCCAAAAGAATTGTGGATGCTGGAAATCAAACAAAAACAGGAATTGCTGGAAAAGCTCAGTAGGTCTGGCAGTATCTGTGGGCAGAAATCAGAGTTAATGTTTTTCTGATTTCTCTACACACAAACAACTTGGAACTACACAGTACCTTGTCCCCTTTAGCATTTGCTACTTTCTATCAGTAATTACATACAAAATATTGAGAAACCATTTTTTTAAAAATAACAAACTGAATATATACAATCTACAACACAGAAACAGACAATTCATCCTAGCTGATCCACACCTCACGTGAGCATCCTCCAATTCTAATTACTTCTTTCCCTTGGTCTCCCCACTACAGTACTTGAACTAATATTAAGAACAATGAAATAATCCTTCTGGGGGTTACGTTAAGAAACAAGAGAGAAACGTAGAAACAGGAACGGGAATAGGCCATATGCCCTTTTGATCCTGGTCTGCCATTCCCTATAATCATGGCTGATCATCCTATTCAGTAACTTGTTCCCACTTTCAGCCCACACCCTTTGATAGCGCTAAGAATTATATCAACCTCCTTCTTGAAAACATTCAATGGTTTGATTTCAACTGTTTTCTGTGGCAGAGAATGCACCACTCAATGAAAAAATTTCTCCTCACTCCTAAATGGCCTATCCCATATCCTTAGACTATGACCCTGACTCAAGGCTGAACAATGCTGTACAAACAATATACAATATACACCATCTTCAATTTGGGGCATCGCTAAAATTGCTTCATGCATTAGTGAAGCTGCAGATTACAGCAAAATTCCTCCAGTTGTAAGAAAAATGAGCTATGTTTAGGATGAGAAGTGCAACTTTCTAGATTGAAGTAAATAAAAGTTTGCTGGGATGGGGGAACCTATATAAAACATTTGAACGATTTACATACATTTAATCCAGAATATTTCATATAATGCCAGGAAAATTGCACCAGTTGAAATACATTTAAATTTGTTGGAAACTCAAAACTATCATGAAGTTCTTACTGAAAAGATAAACACTTAGAATAAACTGCCAGAAAAGAGAGCAGACAAAATACTTTTAGGTGCATTCAAAATGCTTCTAGATGCTACAACTGTGCCTTCAATTCGACATGGCCATTTCTTATTCCTGACTTTCGTTATGTACTTATTTCTGTTTCTAAGAAATGGACAGTGACATATCAGGCTTAGGTTACTGTAGAAATATATTTATAAATGAAGAACATGTAAATGGCATCAAAAGTACAAAGAATACTCAGGGATGGAAGGTATAAAATTATTTAAAAAAGCATGCTCTGACAAGTGTGTTGAAATAATGTATTAGACAAATAAAAACAAAAATGAAGTTCAAGTAACTTGTATGTACTGTACTCAGAATAAGATTAATTTTATCCTACAAGTCTTTATACTAATGAAGTTCATCTTGTTGACTCACATTATAAAATGTATTAATGATACCGAACTAATGTTTTCTGAAAGTGCCAGTTTGATCATAGGTTTTAGCGACCTCTAATATTATTTTAGAAAGAATGTCATGAATGCATTTTATTTCCTATAAGCTTTACAGCTTGTACTTTAAAAAATATCTTTTAAAGTTGATACTCCATCATACCAACAAGTGTCAAAAGACAATATTGTTAAATTATAATTCAATACAGCTTGATTAGATCGATTTTAAATTGTCTACACAAAACTCTACTGCTAGAAATATGTATAATTTCAAACATGTTGCCACTGAAGCCTCTTAGTAGTTGCATCTAAATAACAAATAAAAAGTTCAACGTATACAATTCTAAACACAAACAGGAAATAGAGAATTTGCAACAGAACCAAGACTCACAGTAACTAAAACTTCATTAGCAAGATGTGTGCATTGTACCAACTCTTTGATTAGCATGTCAGCAAATTCACATTATGCTTAACAATACTGTCCTCCAGTAGCCTTAGGCTTCAGTATTCAACCAAAAGGTTATCATGCATAACTTTTAAAAAAGAAAATGCTTTTCTTTTTAAGAAGAAATTCAAGGATAGGACTATTTTAAGGATATATCTATCGCTGTATATAATTTCCTTTGAAATCAAGTGGAATAAAATATTACATTACTTGTAGTAGCAACAAATCCAGGGTTATTTCCTTCTGAAAGTAGAGCTAGCACCTTGTTGTCTCGGATTCTCCAGCATCTGCAGTTCCTACTATCGCTCTTTCTGAAAGTAGTCGTGCTTCCCCCAAACTGTTTTTATTTGTTTCCAGCATGATGGTACAGAACACTTAACATGTGGAATAGTTAAAATAAGGATGAAAGCACAAGTCTACATCAAACACTTCAAAGATGTAAATTTGTGCTGGATACATCACTTGTCTTCTTTCTTGTTACAGTAGTTTTATTTTTATTTTATTTAAATTCTTTCTTACCAATTGGTGCAATTGAGCTGCGCTGTTTATGCTCAACACATTCTTCGATTTCTCCCTTCCTCGTGTACTTAGTTACTTTCAACTTAAAAGCATTTATATTATTCATCTCAATTATTCAGCAGGTTTTCAAGTTCCAAATTCTAAATATTTTGTGGGTAAAGAACATTTCCCTAAACTGGATTTATTAGCTACTAACTTATACTTATGACCATTTGTTTTGGGCTTCCCCAGTTGTGAAAAGGTCTTCGACATCTTAATGCAAGAATTAGATTAAAACCCTGAAAGTGTTTTGTAATTCCAGAAACCACAGTGTACTGGATTGGTAACTGCCTCCACAATATTCAAAAATAAAATATTTAATCACTGGAAAAATTACCAATTTCCAAAAAGATATACACTATCACATTCTTATTTTTCAAGCATCAAAGTATTCCCATTTTTGATGTTCTGCTGCTTTGCAGTGATCAGGTTTAAACCAGATACATCAACTGTTTGGTCAGAGCATTGCCATGGGAATGCAAAGGGAATTAGCTGTTTCTGTAAGCCTTTACTCAGTTTAAAAAAAACATTCCTGGAACATATTTTTCCTACAAAGAACAGAGCCCTGTGCATGAATAAATGTAGCTTCTAGCACGCGAAATTGAATTACTGCGAGCCAGACGGATAACTTTAAATTGGTTTCCAATGTAATTCTTAGTGGTCAGAATAATTTAACAAATCAAATCTAATGTTGAATACCATGTAACACAGATTTACGAGTGTGATCAGATTCTGCCTGCTGATGGTCAAAGGGAGAGGTTGTTTTATGTGGTCTGGCAGTTGTTGGGCCAGACTACCTGCCTACATATTTGTCATGACAATGGTAATGACTCAAAAACCACATTGTTCATGTGTGTAGTCCACAGAACATCTTTTTGGCTTGACAGTAAGATCGGGGAGGGGGGGTTAGTGGAAAATACTGCTGGTGTTTGCAACAAAATAGCAGCATAAGACGGCTAGCTTTATGATAAAATGTTCAAACAAATATAATAATGAACTGTTTGCAGAAAATTGACCTCCTTGACAACTGAATAGCTTGCTTTGCCATTTCAGACGACAGTTAAGAATCATTCATATTTCTGGGAGTCTAAAGTCACACACAATCCTGACCAAGTAAGGCAGCTGATTTCCTTCCCCAAAGGACAATTATATGGGTCTTTACCAATAATCCAGTGGTAATATGGTCACTACTACAGGTACGTTTTTTTGTAAATCCCACGTTGATTCAGCTACCAAAATTTAAATTCCCCATCTTCTGGGATTTCGACCAGTGTCTTCAATTCATTAGTCCAGTCTCTGGATTACTAGTTCAGTAACTTAATCACTACACGACTGTTCCTTTGTAATGTTTCTCTCATGTTCCATATACTTGAATGAAAAATAGTATTTAGCAAGTCTCAACAGCTTACAGATATTGCAACTAATAAGAAGCAATTCAAACTTAAGACATCGTTTCTATTTCATTCCTTGCCCTTTTTTTAAAAATTATGTTCAGTTATATTCTATTAGAAAAAAATACCATCAAGATTCATCGACATAAACTGCTAAATATACTATATGCCTAATCAAAGAGCTGGATAAATTCAGCAAACATCAGCTTTACATCTGAATATTAGGGGGTATTTGAAAGCAGGTCCATTATCTACTGCCACCCTAATTGAGAAGATAAGCCAGGTGGGAGGGAATATGGAGTTCCTGGTCCTGATGGGTAGCATCCAAAATCACTGTTGCCCTGAGGTGGAAAGTTCTCCAGAGTTGCAGCTGAGTGTGACTGGAAAAAAATAATATATTGTAACTAATTGTAACGGAGGGTGCTAACAATATTTCTTCTATGAAAAGTATGCTGATTAGCTGTTCAATTTCTACATTAGTACTGGTTGCACTCTGTTGTGACTGATTACCTACGCAATACATGTTAATCAGACTACAAACTTAATTGCATTTAATTTTACACCTTTACCTAGATTTGAGCAAAAGCAAAACCTTGTATCTGTCATACGGCAAGCTACCTCAAGTATCTAGCCTCCAAATTCTAGCTTCATTGGCATCTCCTTCATCTTAATCTATTTATTAACATACATTCATTTGCAGGATGTGGGCATCACTGATTAAATCAGCATTTACTGTCTGTCCCTAACTACTCAGAAATCTTCTTGAAATACTGCAATATATGGAATGTAGGGACCCTCAGTGCTGTTCGGAAAAGTTCCAGGCTTGTGACCCAGTAACAGTGAAGATACAGTGATACAATTCCAAGTCAGAATGGTGGGTGGCTTTTACAGGTTGGCAACCTATAACCATCGGGGTTCCACAGGGATCAGTGCTAGAATTGCAACTGCTAATGATATATATTAATGACTTGGAGAAAGGAAGCAAATTTACTATAGCCAGAATACAAAGTTGTTCATTTTGGAAGGGAGAACAAAACAACAGAATATTATTTAAATGAAGAAAAACTGCAGAGATGCAACACAAAGGGAATTGGGGAAATTGTGCACAAATATGGAAAGCTAGTGACAGGTGTAGCAGGCATTCAGGAAGGATAATGGAATGTTGGCCTTATTTCAAAGGAGTTGGAGTATAAGAGTGGGGAAGTCTTGCTGCAACCCCTTGTACAAGGCACTGGTGAGACCACATCTGGAGCACTGAGAGGAGTTTTGGACTCCTTATTTAAGGACATACAGCAAACTTTGTTTTAACCGGTACTATATGAACAGGCACCTTTGATAAACCGGCAAAAATTTTATACCTCAAATACCGTGATGTTTACTGTATTCGTATGTCCAATTATTATAGTTTAAATTTATTTACCTCAATGTAACTATCCTTGTTGTTCAATCAAATGGCCACAAGAAATATCAACAGTTGATTGAATCTCGAGTCAATTTCTCTTCAAAAACAGCAATATACGGCAATGTCCAAGTAGTCAGTTGAGGGTGCAAGTTAGTTTTATTTAAGGCAGTTACATTATTTAGTGATTTATGATGTAAATAAAGTATAACAGTAACGTGTATACCCCTGCATTATGTTTCTATGACTTAGTGTGTGTTTTTACATCATTTGTGCAAACCTCTTGATTATCTGGAATATTTGATCAGCACACTCCTGGACCCAAAGGTGCTGGTTAATAGAAGGTTTATTGCATATTATTTCACTGGCAGCAGTTCAAAGAAGATGCATTAGGATGATCCTGGTATCGAGGGATTGCCTTATGAGCAAAGATTAAAGAGGCTGCAATGTTACTCGTCAGAATTTAGAAGAATGAGGGGGAATTCTTTGAAACATATAGAATAACAGAACCCCTACAATGTGGAAGCAGGCCCTTTGGCCTGAGTCCACATCAACCCTCTGAAGAGCTTCCCGAACAGACCCACTCCTTCTACCCCATCCCTGCAATCCTGCATTTGCCGCAGCTAATCCACCTAGCCTGCAGATCCCTGGATACTTTGGGCAATTTAGCATGGCAAATCCACTTAACCTGCAACATTGTTTGGACTATGGGAGGAAACTGAAGCACCTGGAGGAAACCCATGCAGACATGGAGAGAATGTGCAAACTCCACACAGACAGTTGTCCAAGGCTAGAACTGAACCTGGATTCCTGGCGCTGTGAGGCAGCAGTGCTAACCACTGAGGTACCATGCCATCTCCATTAAGGGGCTTCACAGGGTAAATGCTGAGAGGATGTTTCCCCACATGGGAGAGTCTAGGACAACAGGGCACAGTCTCAGAAATAAGGGATAGCAATTGAAGACTGAGATGGAGGAATTTCTTCTTTCAGAGAGTTGAGCGTCTTTGAACTCTTTGCCTCAAAGAGCTGTGGGGGTAAAATCCTTGTTTATATTTAACATAGATAAATTCTTGATCAGTTCAGGAATCAAAGCTAATTGAGAAAGGGCAGTAAAGTGGACGTGAGGTGTGTTGGATCAGCTGAGATGAATGGCACAGCAGCTCGAGCGGCCGAATGGCTGACTCCTGTTTCTATTTCTGAAGGTCTTTTGAAGGGAAACCAACAGGTGATGCCATCCCCATGTATCTGCTGCCCTCATCTTTCTAGATGATACAGGTTGTGGGTTTGGAGCCTTAGTGAACTGCTGCAGTATATCCTGTTGATGGCACGCACTGCTGCCCACGTGTCGGTACTGAATTAAAATGAATGCTTAAAGTGCTAAATCAGATGCCAATAAAGTAGGCTGCTTTATCATGGCTGGTGTCAAGCTTCTTGAAAATACAGGATCCTGGGCTTTATTAATGGGAGCACTGAGTACAAGAGCAAGGAAACTTACAGTAAACCTGTACTGAATGTTGGTTTAGCTTCAACTGGAATAATGTATCCACGTCTTGGTACCACACATTAGGAAGAATGTGAAGGTGTTAAGAGAGCGCAGAGAAATCTCACAAGAATGGTGTTTGGTCATGTACATAGGCAAGAGAAACTGGAACAGTTACTCAGAGAAGAAGTTGAGGAGAGGTTTGATAAAGGTAATCAAAATCATTGAGATGTCTGGACAGTAAATTGGGAAAAACAGCTTCCAGTGGTTAAAACACTGATAACCAGATTTAAGGTAAAAGAACAAAGTAGCATGAAGAAATGGTTTTTCACACAGCGAGTAGTTAGGATATGGAATGCACTGCCCTAGTGTGGAGGCAGGGTCAACTGATGCTTTCAAGAGGAAATTCGCTCACTACTTCAAAGAAAAATAATATTTAGAGGTGCAGGAAGAAAGCAGGGAACGTGCAAACAAACATTCAGAATGACTGTTTTGGAGGCCAGCACAGACAACTGTCAAATGACATTCGTCTGTCCTGTAACTGTAACCATTCTGAGATTCAGCCTGCATGTGATGGGATTGACAAACAACTTACCAGCATTTCTTTAATAAGTATTTTATCATTTATGATTTTTAATCCCAATCAAAACTAGACTGTCAATATTTTTAAAACAGCTTAGTTTTAAGTATTTCTAATGGAATTTCATTCAAATTTTACTCAACTCTGGAAAATAATTTCCTTTAATATAATTTCGGTTAAGATTTCCCAATATTGCATTCACATCTTATATGCCTGGAGTTACAATTTACTTGATAACTTGATCTGTATTTTCAGCATATTAAAAATCAGGATCTTGCCTCTCTTTATCTTCTTTTCTTTTGCAACAGCAAGTTTAGTTTCCTTAGCCTTTCCTCATAAATTGATTTCATTCTGGAATTTTCTTTCTCTTCTTGTTGTATCTTTCCCAATGGAAAGGTAATTAAAAAGGTTCAACGCTAAAATTTTCCACTTAACAAAAGCATTCAGCGATACGCTTCGCAAATTGGAGCTACAAAATCATTTACTTTTTCAATCATTACTTTCAAAATTCTGAGGTCTAGTCTGTGTTCTACAAACATTTAATGTTTCATCTTATCAAATGAAAAATTGATCTATATGTATCTCAGATCAGGCAATCTGACGAGATTTACAATGCGAAAACATGAGAACATAAGAATTAGGAGTATGAGGTTTATATAATCATGAGAGGTAGGAATAGGGAGAATAACCAAGGTCTTTTCCCTAGGGTGGGGGGAGTCTAAAACTAGATGGCATAAGTTAAAGGAGAGGGGGATAAGATTTTAAAAGAGGACCAGAGGGGAAACATTTTCAGGCAGAGGTTGGTGCATGTATGGAATTAGCTGCCAGAGGAAGTGGAGGAGGCAAGTACAATTATAGCATTTACAAGGCATCTGGATGGTTGTACGATAAGACAGTGTGGAGCTGGAGGAGCTCAGCAGGCCAGACAGCAGAGGAGCAGGAAAGCTGACGTTTCGGGTCGGGACCCTTCGTCAGAAATGGGGGAGGCGGAAGGGAGCTCCAAAATAAATAGCCACTGAGGTCTTTCTGGAGGGCGGAAGATAACTTCAAGGTGGGCATCTCTAGAAGAGAAGAGTGCCGACCCGAAACATCGACTTTCCGGTTCCTCAAATGCTGCCTGGCCTGCTGTGCTCCTCCAGCTCCACACTTATCTCTGACTCCAGATTCTGCAGTTCTTACTATCGCTGGATGGTTATATGAATAGAAAGGGTTTAGAGGGAAATGGGCTAAATATTGGCAAACGGGACCAGGTCAGATTAGGGTGTCTGGTCGGTGCAGACGAGTTGGACTGAAGGGTCTGTTTCCATGCTGTCGACTCTATGAGTAGACTATGCAGCCCTTTGAACATGTTCTTCCATTCAATATGATGGTTGATTATCTGCCTCAAGTCCACTCTCTTATGTGCTCCCAATATCTCTCTACTCCCTGCCTCAAATATACTCAATTACAGCACATCTTCACCCCTTGGGGCAGACAATTCCAAGGAACAGAACTAACTGAACACTTCCCATTTTCTGATCTAGTGTGCATCCTAATTAATCAATACGATAATCTACAGTGTTTTATTATGTGTCATGAAAAAGTACATTTGATCACGCATTCTAATTAGTTTCAACCTCTTTGTAAATTATTCCCAAGTCAAGTCCTTTCTACTTTATTTAAAAAGACCCAAAACTGCTTTCAGTAAAGCAGTAAAGCCAATCATAGGCAATATTCCACACCCATAGTCAACAAGGATGTGTAATATAATTATAATCTCTTAACTTCTACAATCTCTACACACTGGGGGTGCGTCTGTGTGTGCCACTCCACCCAGATATTAAAAAACAACATATCATAGAAAATACGTGTGGGAGTAGGCCATTTGGCCCTTCAAGCCTGCTCTGCCATTCAATATGATTATAGCTGATCATCTACATCAGTACCCCGTTCGCGTTCTCTCCCCAAATCCTTTGATTCCTTTCATCTTAGGAACTATATCTACATCTTTCTTGCAAATCTTCAATGGTTTCACCTCAATAGGTTCCTGTGGCAGAGAATTCCACAGGCTCACCACTCTGGGTAAAAAAAATACCTCATCTCTGTCCTAAATGATTTACCCCATAGCCTTAGATTGTCGTCTCTGGTTTAGGACTCATCAGTCATTGAGAACATCCTTCCTGCATCTATTCTGTCTAATCCTGCCTAATAGGTTTCTATGAGATTCTTCCCTCATTCTTCTAAATTTTACGGAATATAGTCCAAATCAATCAAGTTTCTGCCTGTACATCAGACTCACCATTCCAGGAATCAGTCTGGTAAACCTTCTTTGCACTCCTTCAATAGCCAGAACATCCCCCCCTCAGATAAAAGTGACTAATGCTGCAAACACTATTTAAGGTGTCATCTTACCACTGCCCTGTACAGTTGCAGCAAGACATCTCTGCGCCTCTATTTGAATCTTATTACTATGAAGGCCATTTGCCTTCTTCACCACTTGTTGCAGCAACTGGCGTACAAAGTCTTCCCTTTTACCACTCTATCCTCATTCAGGTAATATCTGCCTGCCTGTCTTTGTACCAACATGGATACCCTCACAATTATCCACATTAAATTGCATCTGCCATCTTTTGCCCAGGTAGCTTGTGCAAATCACACTGATGCTTCTCTGCATCCTCCTCACAGCAAACCTTGCCAACCCAGCTTTGTCTCATCTGCAAACTTGGAGATATGACATATAGTTTCCTCATCCATATTATTAAAACACGTGACTAGCCGAGAAAAAATTCCATTTCTGCTCACTGTCCACTCATATGTATGCATCTTACCTGCAGTATAGCAGAGGGTGCAGCAGATTGCAATCCAGGAAGAGTTGCAGCACCCATAGTTGTCTGAAATCCTGGCAGAGGTACAGCATCCACATTAGACTGTAGGCCTGTAGGTGACACCATGCTCACACCAGACTGTACATTAGGGATAGAAGTGGTGCCTACAGTGGACTGGAGATCAGAAAATGAAGTAGCACCCATGGTGGACTGGATAACAGAAAGCGCAGGGGAACCTACGACAGACTGAATTCCTGGTAAAGATCCAGCACCTAGAGGCTGAAGTCCAGGTAAAGAAGCAGCACCCAAAGCAGACTGCAAAACAGGAAGAGAAGCAGCAGCCATTGCCGACTCAAGGCCAGGCAGAGAGGAGGCAGCCACAGCAGCTTGGAGACTGGGAAGGGTGACAGCAGTTGTAGTAGGTTGCAATCCAGGTAATGAGGCAGCAACCACAATAGAATCAAGTCCAGAGAAAGATGTAGATGACTGCAACCTGGGGAGAGTGACAGCAGCAGGCTGAAGCCCAGGGAGAGAGGAAACTGAATGCTGGAGTTCAGAGGGGGAGGCAGGAACTGACTGAAGCTCAGAAACAGATGTAGGAGCAGGATGGAGTCCAGTGTGGGAGGCAGCAGCAGATTGCAGTCCAGCAAGAGAGGTGGCAACAGCATGTAGACCAGCGAGAGAGGCAGCAGCTTGCAGTGCAGCTGGCGATGCTGCAGTAGATCGCAGTGCAGCTGGAGATGCTGCAGCAGATTGCATTCCAATTGGAGATGCTGCAGCAGATTGCAACCCAGCAAGAGATACTGTAGGCTGCAGTCCAGCAAGAGACGTTGAATTTCCATTAGGTTGGTGTCCACCTAGCGACACAGTAGTTTGGAGCCCATGAAGAGAGGTAACATCCGCACTAGACTGGAGTCCAGCAACAGAAACAGCAGACTGAAGTCCAGGCATCGTAGCTGCCATCACACCATTCTGGACTGGAGACAGGGATGTAGTATTCCCAGAGGAATGCATTCCTGCCAACGTTGCTGCAGTTGCAATTGACTGAAGACCAGATAAATTTGCAACAGTCATTCCAGCTTGGAGCGCAGACAGGGATGCAGGAGATAAAGTCTGATTCTGGAAAAATATAGACATTCCTGCGAAGGATAGAAGATTTGGGAATGAGTTGCTCATCGGTGGAGATGTATTGGAATTTTCACTTGTCTGAAAACCTGAGGATGAACTGAAAAATTATGATGCAAGATTAAAGCATTGACAATTAGAATTGCAACAGCAACAGGTTTTTAAAGTTATCGAGAATTACTACGATATTGGTTTTGTCCTGGAGTGTCTCAAGTGTATTCACTATTTCTACTACAGATTGATTTATTTCATGTCATTAAAAATATAAACACTATTGCATTAACAATATGGAAATCTGCAAACATAAAGAATGTAAAAATGGTGTCAGTTCAACGGAACATTTTAAAATTCATTTACCCAGAAGTATAACAATTTTCAAGCATAGAGCTCTGCAGGCTAAAAAAAATGAGCTTTTGATTTTGAGTAAAAGAACTTTACAACCTTCTTTGCTTCTTACCATCATGATATCACAAAGGGTTTTGGTAGACTGGGATAAAGTATTTTTGTCTGGCTGGAAGGTCAGTAACCAGTAAATACAGATTTAAGCCAATTGGCAGAATGATGGGGGAAGGCATGAGGAAAACAAATTTTCAGCAAATTATAAACCAGAATGCACTACTGAAAGGATTATGGAAACTGGTTCATTAGTAACTTTCAAAAAGACAAGAACATGAAAAGGAAAAATTCCATCTAGAGGAAAATTATTACTTTTCATTCAACTTGTTTATAAGGCTATGAATTGCAAATTTAAAATATGATCAATGCATCTTACTTTGGTGATTTTCTATAAGATTATGGAACTCCCTATCCTTCCAACCTTCCTGTCTTTGTATGTCAGGTATTTTAGTTTAATATTCATCTGAGCAGACATGATCTTAATTTAACATCCCATCCATAAGCTAATATCCCCAATAATGCAGCAGTCTCAGTACCACACTAGATTGGGCTGTTAACTCTTAGTGTGAGACAAAATGCACCACCATCTGCACCAAGTCACACTTAAAATTTTTTCTACAGATTTGTTCAATAAAAAGTGAAGTATTTAGTTAAGATCATAAAGTTCAAAAAAAATGATGCTTATCAACTTCCTTAATTGCCTTTTTATATAAAAGAAATAAGTCTGGGAGACGGCGCGGGGGCGGCCTGGGAAGGTGAGCTTTTCGATTGTAGAAGGTCTTGCCTTGTGTGACTGCGGCCTTTCAGTTGTTTCAGCGGCTGGAGTCTGGGAGAAAGCGCGAGGGCAGCCTGGGAAGGTAAGCTTTTCGATTATAAAAAGTCTTACCTTGCGTGATTGCAGCCTTTCGGTTGTTTCGGCGGCGGGAGTCTGGCGGGGGGTAAGGGGGCAGCCTGGGAAGGTGGGCTTTTTGATTATGAAAGGTCTTGCCTCGCGTGACTGCGGCCTTTCAGTTGTTTTGCCGGCAGGGGTCCGGGAAGGGGCGCAGGGGCTGCCTGGGAAGGTGAGCTTTTCGATTGTAGGAAGTCTTGCCTCACGTGGCTGTGGCCTTTCAGTTGTTTCAGCGGTGGGAGTCCACGAGAAAGCACGAGGGCAGCCTGGGAAGGTAAGCTTCCACCTAATAAATTTGGGAGTTAACTAATACCCGAGACACTACAGGCGTAGCGTCTCCCACCCTTCCACCTCCTCTAACCTAATAATAACGACAGAGTGTGGTGAGCAGGTAAGCTATTTGCAATTTTTTTTCCTCATCTCTTTGTTATCTTTCGGGGTGGTCACCTAGACGCCAAATCCTCTGGGAGCGGGTCGGAAGGCAAAGCCGGAGTCTGTTTGAGCATATAACGGAGTAAACTTACTGGTGCAGAGAACACTGCGAAGCTAAAAAAAAAACTAATTAATTTTAAATAATTAACTAAGTAGAGATGGCAGGCCAGGTGATGTGTTGTAACTGTATGATGTGAGAGCTCGCTGATCTCATTGAGGACGGCAGTGACCACATCTGCAGCAAGTGTTGGCTGCTTGAGGAGCTCCGGCTCAAAATTGATGAGCTGGAATCCGAACTCCAAACACTGCGGCACATCCGGGAGGGGGAGAAATACCTGGATGCTGTGTTCCAGGAGGCAGTCACACCTGGTAGATTAACTAATGTTAATTCGATCGGCGGGCAGGGACAGCAGTGTGTGACTGCGAGTGAGGCAGGTAGAGGGACCCTGCAGACAGGAACACAGGAGCCGCAGCCCTTGACATTGTCCCACAGGTATGAGGCACTTGCTCCCTGCGTGGATGAGGAACAGGGCTGGATGGATGAGTCAACTGACCATGGCACCATGGTACCATGGTCCAGGAGGCCATTCAAGAGGGGGGAGCAAAAAGATAGATTGTAGTTGTAGGGGATTCCATCATCGGGGGATAGACAGTATCCTTTGCGCGCAGGATAGAGAATCCCGCGTGGTGTGTTGCCTGCTCGGTGCGAGACATCTCTGACCGGCTTGAGAGGATACTAGAGAGGGAGGGGGAGGATCCAGTTGTTGTGGTCCACGTAGGTACCAACAACATAGGCAGGACTAGGAAAAAAAATACCTGTTTCGGGATTATGAAAAGCTAGGAACAAAATTAAAAAACAGGTCTTCAAGGGTCATAATCTCTGGATTGCTGCCCGAGCCACGTGCAAATTGGCATAGGGAGGCGAGGATCAGGGAAGTAAACACATGGCTAAAAGAGTGGTGTGGGAAAGAGGGTTTCCTTCTCATGGGGCACTGGCATCAGTTCTGGGATGGGAGGGATCTATATTGCTGGGATGGACTCCACCTGAACAGGGCCGGGTCCACTGTTCTGGCGAAAAGGGTAAATAGGGTGGTTAATAGGACTTTAAACTAGTAAGTAGGCCGGGGGGGGGGAGGGAGAAGTGAGCGTAGAGGGAGAATAACAATTAATGTAAGGCAAAGCAGCTGTTTAAAAAAGGAAGTAGACAAAAAGCAGGTAAATATAGGCTAGTTAGCTTAACTTTGGTAGTGGGGAAAATGCTTGAATCTATCATGAAGGAAGAAATAGCAAGACATCTGGATATAAATTGTCCCATTGGGAACACCCAGCATGGGTTCATGAAGCATAGGTCATGTTTAACTAATTTGGTGGAATTCTTTGAGGACATTACTTGTATGGTGGACAACGGGGAACCTGTGGATGTGGTGTATCTGGATTTCCAGAAGGCATTTGACAAGGTGCCATACCAAAGGCTGCTACATAAGATAAAGTTGCATGGTATTACAGGTAATGTATTGGCATGGATAGAGGATTGGTTGACCAGTAGAAAGCAAAGAGTAGGGGTAAATGGGTGTTTTTCTGGTTGGCGGTCAGTGGCTAGTGGTGTGCCTCAGGGATCAGTGTTGGGACCGCAATTGTTTACAATTTCCATAGATGATTTGGAGTTGGGGACTAAGTGTGGTGTGTCAAAATTTGCAGATGACACTAAGGTGAGTGGTAGAGCAAAGTGTGCAGAAGACACTGAAAGTCTGCAGAGGGATATAGATAGTCTAAGTGAGGGGGCAAAGGTCTGGCAGATGGAGTACAATGTTGATAAGTGTGAGGTCATCCATTTTGGTAGGAATAACAGCAAAATGGACTATGTTTTAAATGGTAAAAAACTGCAGCACGCTGCTGTGCAGAGGGACTTGGGTGTCCTTGTGCATGAATCGCTACAAGTAGGATTGCAGGTGCAGCAGGTAATTAAAAAGGCAAATGGAATTTTGTCTGTCATTGCTAGAGGGATGGAGTTTAAAAACAGGGAGGCTATGCTGCAGCTGTATAGAGTCCTGGTGAGGCCACACCTGGAGTACTGTGTGCAGTTTTGGTCTCCTTACTTGAGAAGGGATATACTAGCACTGGAGGGGGTGCAGAGGAGATTCACTCGGTTGATTCCAGAGTTGAGAGGGTTGGATTATGAGGAGAGACTGAGTAGGCTGGGATTATACTCATTGGAATTCAGAAGAATGAGGGGAGATCTTATAGAAACATATAAGATTATGAAGGGAAGAGATAAGGTGGAGGCAGGGAGGTTGTTTCCGCTAGCAGGTGAAACTAGGACTAGGGGGCATCGCCTCAGAATAAAGGGAAGCAGATGTAGGACTAAGGTCAGGAGGAACTTCTTCACCCAAAGGGTTGAGAATCTGTGGAATTCCCTGCCCGGTGAAGTGGTTGAAGCTACGTTGCTGAATGTTTTTAAGGCAAGGCTAGATAAATTTTTGAACAGTAAAGGAATTAAGGGTTATGGTGAGTGGGCAGATAAGTGGAGCCGAGTCTCAAAAAGATCAGCCATGATCTTATGGAATGTCGGGGCAGGCTCGAGGAGCCGGATGGCCTACTCCTGCTCCTAGTTCTTATGGTCTTATTAAATCTCACATCAGACTTAGCAGGTTAATTGAAAGACAGACAATTGCACATTTGTAGTACACATTTCATAATGCACCAGTTACATCAAAGACACCATACTCACCCAGTTTGTGGCACCACACCAGGACTACAGTTTGTGTTGGTATAGCTGGAGGTTAACCCTGTGGTAGTTGAACTATGAGTTGGTGTGCCAGCACTTCCTGATCTTACTTCACCATGAGCCTGAGACATCTGTGGTGCTGCTGATATTACAGTTGTAGTATCCTGGCATTCAGGATATGGAGGTGGGGCAGAAGAGCCACTGGATTGAGGAACACCTGCAAAAACTGAAGGTATCGAGGTGGATGTACCAAGCCTTGGAAAGGCTGGTGTTACTGGTGCTGAAGCAAAAACTAGCTGATTTGCAGGCGACTGGACAAATGTAGGTGTTGCAACAGGTGTTGCAGGTGCAGACGGGTAGGAACCAAGCGGTGAGAACACAGTCGCATGCAAGTTGGCAGCAGAGGAGTTATAGTTTAGTTGATTGGCTGGTCTGGAAAAAGCTGAAAGAAAAATATTTTTCCCTTAAAAGTTGTATTACAATAATAAATAATTACTGAAAAATATTCACTTATTAAATGCTCCTCAGCTCATCATTTTGAATTTTAAATTCTAGTACACTCATGAGTATGTCTGAACATAAATGGCTTTTAAAATAAACTTTGCTCAAACAACAAAGTGGTTCAATGACAACTCTTTAAAAAGGGCTATCAAGTTTTTTTCATCTCTATATACTTTTAGGGAACAGAGAAGATCTATCCTAGCTCCTAATCTGCAATTCATTGTTACAGGTTATTGGTATTTTGTTTACCCAGGCACCTCAAATTTCAATAATGCCTCTCAATTTCACTTGACTCCCCCAGCAGAAGAGACAGTAGCATAAGAGAAGCTCACATGTCCTGGATTCCCCAGTGTTCAGCATGTAACTGATAGAATACCAGAAATTCAGTGGTCCCTTCCCACAATGTCATCTCCTTTATTTCAGGTGTGAAATCAAAATCCTAGCTGACTGTTCAGACTGGAACACAAATACCAGGAAACAGTTATTTTTCCAGTCTCCTCAAGCAAACACCATTCAAATAAACTATATAGTTATTCACTTAATTTGTTGAATTGCTGCGTATAACTTAACTAGAGATGCCCTTTTAATAATAGAAACTAGACTTCAAACATAATCTGGAGTTAAGCGCTTTGGAACATCTTCAGGGCACTATAGGTCATTCTTTAAATGAAAAGGGTTTACACTTCAAGAATTCTGTGACCAGATATACATATCAATACTCTGAACCAGATAGTTGCTGTAAATCAGTGTTTTTACATCAATCCATGAAAGATACCATGATTTGAAGGGTTAAGATATTAGGTACATGCGAGGAACAAGCTCATGTACTGCAACCATAACCTCTTATTGCGAAATCTAAGGGCAAGATAACGAACTGCCTCTGATACCACTTTATAGACGGAACAGACCATGTCACGGAAAAGGCTAGCATGTCCTAAATAAATACTAACCAAGGCAGAAGCTAAGAGGGACACTTTCAGTCAAGTGCATAAAACAGATAAGGCAAAAGTAATCCAAATATGTACTTAGATTGAATGATGGAGCAGACTCAATGGGCCAAACAGCTTAATTGAGCTCCTATATCTTATGGTCTTATGATGTCCAGTGGCCTTTCTATGTATTAAAAAAAATTCACCTCCACAATCAAAGTGCTTTGCAGAGTCCTTCCCCTAGAAATTAAGTAAGTTCAGTACAGTTTACAACACGACAGATTACATACTGTTTCTACACTTTCTTATTCTTTATCTACTTTTCCGTTTCATTTCTAGTTATGATTTTGTTACATCTACCATTGGTATTTTAAGGCATTGCATGGGTCAAACAGCTTTGTTTCTGCTTATTATAAAACAAAGTTCATCAAATTCAACTAGCCCTCAGTGATGAATTAACCCTATATTGAGTGGTGACATAAGAAACAGAAGATTCAAATATTCAGGAGCAGTGGTTCAGAAATAAAATTTCTTTAGTTAACACTACAGAATGCTCCAAGTGCCCATCCACCTGAGTAACCAAAACACAATTTAAAAAACACAATTATATGAAAAGCAAAATTTAAAAATTGAAAATAAATTAATTCTGGTCAGACCTTGTTGAGGAGCATAGGCGGCTGGTGCTACAACTGGAGCTATGAAACTGCCCATTGGGACAAGGCCAGCTGTGTTGTATGCACCTACAGAAAAACAAACAAATATATAAATTGGGACTCATCATAGGAGTCTCATTTCCTGCATCATGCCCCTATGCAATTATTTGGAAATAAACATCCACAATTATGCCATCTGGGAAGCTATTTTTAGGTCTCGGACAATACTGAACTTGCCATACGTCCCTTCATTAATTATGAAAATTAAGTTTCAAGCCACTTACTACCATGTATGCTGATTGGACATGACATATTAACACCATGCATGCATGAAAGCTTCTTCATGCAATCTATACTGAAACTGTAAAAATGCATTCAAAGAAACAAAAACCAGGCAAATACAACACCTATTTTGCAGATGTGAAGTGATGTGTCATCCAGCAGTGCGATTACAAGCAATGGGGTGCATATTTGCAGAGAGGCAAGTGCAATTGGGGCGTTAAGCAAATCTCTGCTGTAAAAGACTGAGTAGCCTTAGGGACGAGTGTATTATGCATGCAATTACACTGTAACAAAATTTATTAATCTTTTACATCAGTCTATTGATTACTGCATCTAAGTATTCATTATAATAACTCTGTCCCAAACCGCACAACCATACGCATGCATTTTCATGCACGATGTTTTTTGTTTCTTTGCACGCATTTTTACAGTTTCAGTACAAAGAAGCTTTCATGCTTGCGTGTTCTTAACATCTCATGCCCAATAGGCATTCATGGCAGTTAAGTGGCTTGAAACTTAATTTTCAAAATTAATGAAGAGACACATGGCAAACTCTACACAGTCCAAGACCCAAACATAGCTTCCTAGATGGCATACTTGTGGATGTTTATTTTCAAATAATGTCCCCATAGGAAATTTCCCTGTATGTAATGAGTGAGGATTGGAGGCTATCTAGTTGATCCAGTGAAGTGCAACCTGCAACCATTACAGATTGAAACAAGTTTATGGACTGCTACAACAGTTTAGGACATGCTGCAATGCAAGATGCTACAATGAGCTGCAGGTCTTATTACCTGTTGGATCTTTTCCTAAATATAACTCAACAGATTAAGTGAAATTTCTCTTTTTTTTTTGAATTCCCATAATCATTTCTCAGCAGACAAAATGTTTACTGACCAAAACTCAGTAAAAACTATGTATCCTCTTATAGGACATAAGCTTATATCATGTGAAATAAAAATATTTATGTAAAAAATGAGAGATGGTTGTCTTCTCCCACTATACAGCTGAACTTTGAAGATACTGAGTGTAATGTGTTCAATTTATAGTTCAGCATTCTTCACCTTCCAGGATACAAAGTTCAATCAAGATGCGCTTAACAGAGCATCATATCTTGTTTATAAAATAAATATCCTGCTACACTAGACCTCCTCCCAAGTGAAAGGACACCTGTCATGTACTGACGAACTTATAACATTTCTAGCATCAAGATCTTGATTCTTTGGACAGAAGTCATTTTCTGATGTCAAAATAGACACAACAGCATTACTACTGTAAGATGCTTAAAGTTTTGTCAGTAAATTGATACACAAATAACTTGAGTCGTCATGACTGCATACTGTATAAATAATGTTGCCAGTGAAAACAGCTAAAGAAAAATCCGACTAAAATCTTACTTGGTGCAATAGTTGCATGTGGTTGGCAAGGAGGTATAGGGTAAGGAACAGGCTTATGAGGATTGTATGTTGCTGGAGCCTAAACAAAAAGAAAAGTTAAATATAAATATGTAGGACTCTCAATTTTTGAATAAAAGCTAAAAGGTTCCGCTAATGTATTCACAAGTATAACTTGTAGAATTTGGTATCCAAATAAAGTGTAAAACATAAAATGAATACATAATTTCAAACTCCATTTTGAATGATTTGTTAAGTATAAAACAACACTCTTTCAATCATAAATTCAATTTTAAAAGTACTGATTATGTTCATGATGTTTTTCTAGCATTTGTACTTCTTATCGATGGATAAACATGAAAACCTATATGAAAAATCACCACAATAGTTTACACTAGAAAACCAAAGATGCAAGGGGTGAGATAGACTAAAGGAGGAAAACAAGAAAGGATTGTTAGCAGTTCCAATTAGATAGCAGCATTATCACCTTTGAATCATAAAATTGTAGGTTTCCGCCCAATTAACACGATCCCCATTGACAATTATTGGAATTAGCACCTTATAGAAAAGATATTAATGCAAGCTTCAGTCTACTGCTTCAGCTGAATAGACAAGAAGCTCTTCTAGTGTCAGAGTAGGTTCAACATCATGGAATGAGGCCCTTCAGTCCACCATGTCCATGCTGGTCATCAAGCACCTATCTACTTTAGGTCCTATTTTCCAGTATGAGGTCCAGTCCTCATCAATATTACTAAAAAAATAGTTTGATGCTTCATGTAATTTTGCTTGCTTCAAGCTGACAATGAAATGTGGCAATGTTAACAATGTCTGCACTTCAGAAGCTATTCATTCTGTTAAGCAATTTGGTATGTTCTAAAGGTATGGAAAACACTCAAATGATTCATTCAAATAAAAAAGTATCCATTAATCAAAACTCTCGAGCCAACTGCAAAGAAAAGGTTCAGTTATGACCACGCAACAGATAACTCTAGTACTGGCCAAAAAATTTGTGACACATGGGAACTTAAGTGCAAAATAACTTAGACGTTAGGAATAGAAGTAACTCAAAAGTCTAAAACATTAGAGTACCAACTCACTTTACCCTGCATACAGTGTAGATGGCATTTTTTTTTCCACAATCAGCTTACAAACTGATGCAAAGAACTGACTGCCATACAAATAAATGGAGTTAAGTGTGTATGTGGGCCAATGCCACTCTTGTTTTAATAAGGATCCAACCTGATTTCACAGACACTTTCAAAAGGTCAGATACAATTTAAAATTCTCCTTAACACTGGAGTCATACCCTTAGCTATTCATCCTAACCTTGTGATCAGACACACTAACAATTTTACCAATATAGCCCACAGATCCCTTTCTGGCTCTGGTCACTTAAATATTTCCATTTAACTTATGAGTTCTTTTACCTCATCTTATGACTTTACACTATCTATGCAAAACCCTATCAGCAATCCCTCTGAATATTGATCTTGACTGTCCCAACTTCTTTGGATTGCTGCGCAAGTACTTTCACAAAACTGGCCAAACTTATCTTTCAAAGTAAGTCTGGGTAAAAGTTTGTTATACAAAGACAGGAGCACTATGCAATATAATGTACAACATATCCAGCTTCATCACTGCAGAAGTCACAAAGCACAAATATTGTTAAGTAAGCACTGAAGAAGACAAGTGTTACTTAAATGGCAAAAATATTGGCTCCATGTTTTCAAGCACAAAATTGACTGAAGGGTTGCAAGCATTCTATTCCTGCAGCTTTTCCACATGTAAAATTATTTGTTTACATTTCATTTGAAAGGAAAGTTTGAAATGTTAATTGATAGGAAATGGAGAATGTGATATAATTAGGCACCAATGTTTGGTTGAAGCTTACTAATAAAGATTCATAGCTTTTGATCCCTCTTATCAGATATGTTTTTTTGCCCATCAACGTAAACAGTGGACAATGTCATTATTTAAAAAAAATATAATTCTTGACTTTATAAATCAATGTTATCTGTACTTAGGCCTCCATACTTACTGGCTTAGAAGGTCCTAGAATACAGGTTGCTATCCCTCGGCCAACATTATAACCATCTTCATTTTCTTTCTTTACGGAAAGTGCCTGGCCAAAGAAAGTCATTATCAGTTCTTTGCATAGCAAATTTATATTTGGTTAATATGCAGTTCTATTTTACATGTCTTATTATTCGTGTAGGTATTATTCTAGATATTATAAGAGACTTCCAAAATATTCAAACATCTTTGGTACTACAATGAAAATGCAAGTAACCTGCTTAACTATATTAGTCACTCAGTTTCACAAACACAGAACCTTATAGCACAAATGTCCCAAATAATTTTACTTCCATATTTTCCATTCTCCCAAAGGGTACAATTTCATGAGTGAAAAGATGACTGAAAGGCACAAGATTCCTGTCCTTTACTGATGTCTTGGAATCTTTTCCAACATGCTGATGTCCTTGCTGGACTAAAGTTCCCATCATCAGGATGTTGCTTTACCTGTATCTTACAAATGGTCAACATAATCTTTTTTGGCTTAACCAGTAAGCAAATTAGCTTTGTAACTTTTGAAGTTTTGTCATTTTTTTCTTTTAATTAATAAAATTAATAAGTATTGACAGATGGAAATCCGTCCCAGACCTTTGTCAATACTGTTCTTAAATTGGTCCTCAAATCAAACTATTACTCAGTAAACCTTCTAACATATTTTCTAGCATGCCCATCTCCCCAACTGGGAAAACATCAACTGGAAAGAATTACAGGGCACAAATTTATGTTGCACCATTCTGCTGTAAACATTCTGTCTCTAACTATCTTGTGAGCCTTAACATTAAACGGGACAGAAATAAGATAAGCCTATGTGCATGTGTTTTTGGATAAATGCACAAGTTGCCGGATCTGTCACTCACACCCACATTTACCAGCCTTCCCTTTCCACTGTGCTCAAGTGGTAAATTCCAACTGCCCTGAAAACAGGGAAACACTAAACTGAAAATGATAATGTAACCTCTTATGACCAAGATAAACCTTTGATCAAATGTGTTCAAAGGAAAGCTTCCATACTTACTGCTAACAATCCATTCAACGCACTGGGTTTCCCTTTAGGATAGGGGTTTCCTGGAATCATTCCACATGAAGACCTTATTGCAAGAGGAGCCTTACAGCCAGCTTTAGAAGCCTTATATATATATGACATAAAAATAAAAATATCAACATAAAGAACCACATCTCTAATTCCATTTTGGAAGAGCATTATCATCGTCATAATAAATTTTCAAATTGTACTACCCTCAATTTCACAGCTAAGCTTTGGATTGTAGCTTTAAAGCAAGGTTGTTCTTGTATAGCTTAATCCTATTATAAATAATAAAAATATTGCATTACATATGCTTTGTCCAGAGGATACAATAAAATGCAATGGCTGAAGTGCTAAAGACTCAAAGTAAGTGCAAAGCTTATAGAAAGTGCACTTTCACAGGATGTGAGGATTTCAATATTAATATATGGATTTGGTAACTATTTACATATTAATACAATCAGTACATTCAGTCATCCACAACAAGTATTTCCTATGGGCTTTAAAATGTTAATTATGTCTTCAGTGTATCACTTTTGTTTACCAAAACTATCTGCTGATAGAATAAATGCTTGGAGTCTGCTCGCAGTCCCAAACTCCAGCCACCAGGTGCTGCCAATTCCCAATTTACTGGCAGTATTCCCTCCTAACCTTGAACTTAATACTCTGTATAACATACCAATTTAAAATATAATGACTTTTCTTCCTTTCTCTCTTTAAACTTTTAAAGATTGAATTTTAAATTTACTGTTCCCAATCTCTCCTCACTTTTGCTGTTCCCAATTTTTCTTCTTTCTCCTTTCTCCTTTCAAGATTCAACTTCTACAACTGGAGCATATTTCTCTGCCAGGTACACCTTGGGTTCCCAAGCTCCACACCTGTGCCTAGCCACTAAGTCATATTACTCAGCCAACATACTATTCTCAACTCTTTCATGGGACATAAGCAACATTTATTGCCCATCCCTAATTGCTCCGGAGAAACTGGTGAGTACTGTCTTGAACTGCTGCAGACCCGGCAGATAGGGATACCCAAAATGGTATTAGGAAATGAGTTCCAGAATTTTGACCTAGTGACAAGGAGGAAGAGCAACATATTTCCGAGTCAAAGTAGTTTAGGGTTCAGGCAGAAACTTACAGATGCCAGTATTTACTCGCATCTGCTGCTCTTCTCTGTATACATGCAAGTTGCTGTTGAAGCAGTCTTGGCCATTTACTGTAATTCATCTTGTAGATGCCTTGTGTGTCA